ATTGGAAGCTATTTTATATTATTTTGGGCTACTATTAATTGCAGAATATTAGGCTATTATTTTGATTAATTATTAATTGGCTTGAATTATTTGGATTGGATAAAACTTATTTTGTTAAATTGTGATTATTGGTTGGATCATACACAATTTACTCATGTCAACTGAAAAGAATGAATCTGTTTGCATTCGTTTTACTGGAAAGAATTATTCTTCATGGGCATTTCATTTTCAATTATTGATCGAGGGCAGAGGTGATTTTTGGGGACACATTAATAGGAGCTTCCACCTCCTAATCAGGAGAAGGAGAAGGAGAAGGAAAAGTACCTTGCCTAGAAAACCAAAGATTCCAAGATTATGGCCTGGATTATTGGATTAGTTGATGCTTAGATTGTTCTTAATCTCAAGCCTTACAAGTCTACTCGTGCTATGTGGGAATTTTTGAAGAAAGTCTACACTCAAAGCAACAATGCTCGACGACTTCAATTAGAATTTGAATTGGCAAATTTTTCTCAGGATTCTCGATCTGTTGAAGAGTTTTATTCTGGTTTCTCCAATCTGTGGGCTAAGTACACGAATATCATATATGCCTCGGTTTCAACTGATAATTTGGAGGCAGTACAAGCTGTACATGAAGTTACCAAGAGGGATCAATTTCTCATGAAGTTACGAGCCGAATTTGAACCTATTCGATCAAGTCTTATGAATCGTGAATCTCTTCCAAGTTTGGATGGATGTTTGGGTGAGTTATTAAGGGAAGAGCAGCGACTTATCACTCGTGCTTCTTTGGAGCAACAACAGAATCAAGTAGAACCAATCCTTGTTGCATATGCTGCTCAAGGAAAATATAGATCTTAGGATATGTCTGGTGTGTAGTGTTACAATTGTAAGAGATTTGATCACATGGTTCTTCAGTGTCCTAAGAAGATATGCAATTATTGCAAGAAGGCTGTACACGTGATTAAGGAGTGTCCTATTCTCCCTCCATGTAAGCTTGAAGTAAGTCATATTGTCGTTGCCACTTTAGCTTCTAGTTTTGCTGCTACCACTCAAGTTTCAGCCTCTCCTTGCCAAGAGTAAAGTTTTGTCTTTCCCTTCTCATGGTTCTCATGCTTCGCATCTTTTTGACATTGTTCATAGTGATGTATGGGGTATTGCACCTGTGGTGTCTCATGCCCATTATAAATATTTTGTTACCTTTATTGATGACTATAGTCGTTTCACATGGGTTTACTTTCTTCATGCAAAAAGTGAAGTTTCCTTAGTTTTTCAAACTTTCCTTGCCCTCATTGATAACCAATTCTCCTCCTCCATCAAGATCTTACATGTGATTCGGGAGGAGAATATATGTCAAATGAGTTTCAAACATTCCTATAGACCAATGGTATTATTTCTCAGCAATCGTGTCCTTCTATTCCTCAACAAAATGGGGTGGTGGAACGCAAGAATCGACACATTCTTGACATGGTTAGAGCCCTTCTAATTGAGTCTTCGGTTCCTTCTCATTTTTGGTGTGAAGCTTTGTCTATCGCTGTCCATCTCATTAATTGGTTGTCATTTCCCACTCTCAATAATGTTTCTCCGTTTTATAAGCTCTTCGGTCATCATCCTACATACTCTCATCTACATACTTTTGGTTGTGTTTGTTTTGTTCATTTACTATCACATGAAAGAACGAAACTCACACCTCAATCAGTTAGGTGTGCATTTCTAGGATATAGTAGCACACAAAAAGGGTATGTATGTTTTGATCCTATTACACATCGCCTTGGGATCTCTTGTAATGTTGTATTCTTTGAGAAACAATCTTTCTTTACTCAAGACACTGTTATTTCTCCTCCTGTGTTCACTGTCTTGCCCAACTTTCCTATAGAATTCTCTCGATACAAGCTCGGTCTCGTTTACTCTCGGAAGCAGGTAACACCGATCACTAATCTTGACCTTCTCCCTCCGACGACTGTCCCTCCAAGTCTCCATGATTCTCTACCCATGACATCGGATCCTTCACCAGCTGATCATTCACCTCCTAACACTTTCCGTCACTCTTCCCGTGTTCGTCGACCACCAGATAGGTATGGTTTCTCATCCCATAGCTCTATGTCAGCTACCCTTAACTCAATTACTATTCCCTCATCCTATAGACAGGTTATGGAACAAGAGTGTTGGCATCAGGCAATGAATGCAGAACTTGAGGCTCTCTCGGCCAACCAAACTTGGGATATTGTGCCCTATCCAAAGTCTGTGAAACCCATTGGTAGTAAATGGGTGTATTCTATGAAGCTTCGATCAGATGGTTCTCTTGAACGCTACAAGGCTCGGTTAGTTGCTTTGGGTAACCGTTAGGAATATGGAATTGATTACGATGAGACATTTGCTTCCGTTGCTAAAATGACTACTTTTTGTCTCTTGTTATCACTTGCTGCTTCTCGATCTTGGTCTTTACACCAAATGGATGTCAAGAACGCATTTTTACATGGTGATCTCAAAGAAAGTATTTATATGAAGCTTCTATCTGGCATGCCTCTTTCCTCAGCTGACTCTGTATGTAAGCTAAAATGTTCTTTGTATGGCCTTAAGCAAGCTCCTCGAGCATGGTTTGATAAGTTTCACCGCACTCTATTGGATTTCTCCTATCTCCAAAGTCAGTATGACGCCTCTCTGTTCCTTCATAAGAGTACCACTAGGATTGTTCTCTTGTTAGTATATGTGGATTATATTATTATCTATGGATCTGACAACATCCTTATTCAAAAACTTCAGCAGCATCTTCACTCGGTTTTTCATATGAAAGACCTTGGGTAGCTTACTTACTTGGATTTCTCCTATCTCCAAAGTCAGTATGACGCCTCTCTGTTCCTTCATAAGAGTACCACTAGGATTGTTCTCTTGTTAGTATATGTGGATTATATTATTATCTATGGATCTGACAACATCCTTATTCAAAAACTTCAGCAGCATCTTCACTCGGTTTTTCATATGAAAGACCTTGGGTAGCTTACTTATTTCCTAGGCTTGGAGGTTCACTCTGCCCCACATGGTATCTTCTTGAACCAACACAAATATATTCAAGACTTGATTCGATCAACATATTTATTTGAAGCCTCCTCAGTTGATACTCCGTTGGAATTTAATGTTAATTATTGAAAAGATGAAGGTGATATACTTTCAGACCCTACTCTATATCGGAAGCTGGTGGGGAGTCTCATCCATCTCACTATCACACGTCCAGATATCTCCTTTGCAGTGCATACTGTCAGCAAATTTATGGATACCCCTCGTCATCTTCATTTGGTAGCAGTCCGTCGCATTATTCGATATCTTATTGGAACTCCTCATCGTGGCTTGTTCTTTCCAAGGGTTACATCTCTTGAGCTCACTGCTTCTAGTGATGCTGACTGGGCTGGTTGACCTGATTCTCGTCGATCTACAACTGGATGGTGTATCTTCCTAAGTAATGCTCTTATTTCTTGGAAATGTAAGAAACAAGATTGTGTTTCTAAGTCTTTCACTGAGGCTGAATATCACGCTATGTCAACTGCATGTTCTGAGATTGTGTGGTTGTGCGGTCTGCTAACTGAACTTGGAGTTCCCCAATTACAACCTACGCCCCTCCATGGTGACAACACTAGTGCTATTCAAATTGCGGCTAATTCAGTATATCATGAACGTACCAAACATATTGAAGTAGACTGTCATTACATTCGGGAAGCCTATAATTCCAACGTCATTGCTCTTCCCCATGTTTCCACGGCTCAACAGATAGCAGATATTTTCACCAAATCCTTGACGCGTCTCCGTCATACTTTTCTAGTCATCAAATTGATGCTCGTGGACTTAGCAACATCAATTTGAGGGGGGTATTAGCATATTTGACGCGAATTAGAGGTTTCCATGTATAGAATTGGTAGTTCCATAGAATTAGGGATTTTTGATTTTGTATCCTTTCCTTTTTTTCTTTGTAATATTCTATATATATTGAAGCAATACATACCGAAGATTTGTCGAGCAAAATTCCTGTCATATAGGTATGGGTGGAGTTGGAAAGACTACTCTTGTTGAGGGTTCAGAAATAGAGCCGAAAGATCGAAATTTGCATTCGACGAAAATAGTGTTGAGAATAGAACCGTTGCTTTGCACAAACACTAACGAAGGAGGAGATGTTTCTCCTAATTCTTGAAGTTTGGGGTGCAATGAGGACTGATGTTATACTCAAAATTCAGATCCTAAATGAAGAAAGCTCGGAGGGAGGTCGCCACCGGAAAAAATTGAGCGCAAGGGCAGTAGCAAAAAAATGTGGTGGACTACATTCACAAATAACATTGTCGGGGCATGTTTGAAGGGAAAGAAAATAGTTGAGATGTAGGCAGATGCACTGAACATTCTGCATAAGTCGGAGCCTAACAGAGGAATCGAAGATAAAGTTTACAATCCCTTAAAGTGAAGCTACAATGTCACAGATAGAGTAATGCTATTCATTACCATCAGATTTAAACACCGATCTAGATAACGATTACATGACATGAATGGTAGATTCATTTAAATGCAAAGTCATATCATTCATTTAATTGAACCTATAAAATTTAGCCACCTAAACTGGAGCTCAGCATTACTCTTACAAATATTGGTCAGCATTACTCTTTACAAATATTGGTTTGCTGAAGGTTTTGTTAGAGCAGCACCTCAATTACAAGGAAATAAAAGTGTCAAAAGGATTCTTGTCCGTGTAAAGTCGACTTTGAAGATGCATAATGATTTTCGTGATGTTGCCATTCAGATTTCTACCTCATCGAAAGTAGAACTTAAATTCCTAATCACGTCGGGAATCGGACTACAGGATAACACAGAAACGCCTAATGTTGTGAGACAGTCTTTCAGGATCAACTTTGAGAAATCTAGCAACTGCTGATGCTCTTCTCAACGGGAGCAAGAATCTCAAGAAGTTCAAAATTTCCGTTGGATTCTAGCCACGTTCTATTGACATGCTAGGCTGATCGGAGTTATCATTTATCGAAGTGAACAATCATTTCATAATGATTATTTATCAAAGTCAACTATCACACATACATCACATCGTTCACAAGTTAGATAGTCGGCAAAAATTAATATAGTCGAGACAGTTGACTAAACAAATCAACAATTGAACCACAATACCACTCCAACATAATATAGGAGTTGACTGCCAACTTAGGCAACTGGCGGACGAAGCACATGATCCTGTGAAGTATCGACAGCAGCAGGAGGCATGAACTGCCACATGGCGACTCCTGGATAGCTGATGACAGGCACAAACTTGTTCGCTGTAGCCTGACCTTGGGCAGCAAATGCAGCAGGCATGGTAGGAGCAGGTAGAAAGCCCGGTTGCACATTTGTTGTCTTTAGTTGTTGCTCAAGCTTTTCCTTCTCGGCCTTCAACCTTTGCTTCTCATCGCGGAGCTCGTTCTTCTCAGCCTACACAAATTAATGGAACATCAGATTGTGCACAAATAAGTGATCATCTTCTGATCCATCTTAGCAAGTCAAACAAAAAGAACATAGTACTCGTTTTCTTGAGAAGATTGAACTCTTGACCAGATTGGAATCACATTCCGTCCAAAATGATTAATAAAGACGAACACACCAGAATACATAAAAAACAGGCAACCTTACCTTTAGCTCTTTAATCTTTTCCTGTAGATCTGTATTTGAGTTGTTTAGCTTCCCGGCTTCACCTCGTAGTTGAGTCACCAAGTGAGCAGCATCAAGCAAAATAGCAGCCTTGTCTGTTTTGGGAGGTCTTCCAGGGTCCAAGAGAGCACTCAATTCCATAAACCTAAAAAAACGAATGATGCAGTCACTAAAGTTGTGCACGTGTGTGTATGAAAGACAATGTGTGTGTGTGGTGGGGTTGGGGGGGGGGCAATGGG